CTAAAAAAAAAAAAAAAAGAATGCTCTGTCTCTTTCTCTCTCATGGAAGGAATAATAAACTTAAAAAATACATATATTTTTAAAAACTGGGGGTGAACTGTGGAGTGAAATCCGACTGGGAGGCTCCTCTCTCTCATGAGAGAAACAAAGAAAGAAAAAAGTATATTTAAATAGGCTGGCTCCACAGCCAGTGGTGAAGGGAGCTGAATCCCGCATGGCCACCATGGTTTCAATCCTGGCCCCGACAGCTTGAAAATCACAAGTGTGAGTGTGCCTGCCAAAATCCCACCAGGAGGAGAAATGGAGGAGAGAGTGTGGCGTGACTTTGCCTCATCAGGAGATGCTTCCCTCCCCACTTCTTCTATCCGGGGCAATGCACCCTTTAGCAATGAAAAATATACATACCTACAAACACATATATACGTATGTGTATGTACATGAATAATAAACGCACAAAAGAGAGAAGAGCAGGCACTATTCTCGACTTTTCCACCAAAACCCTTTAAAAGTTACATAAAGAGTACATGTATGATACAAAACAGGGCCAGCCCATGGTGAGAGAGCTGAGATGGCTGGGTCCCATATGGCCAATGCACCACAAATAAAAGGTTACTCAACTGTGTCATGAGCTGTACTGCTGCACCTCCAAATGCATATGTTGAAGCCCCGGCCACCCCATATCTCAAAGTACAACTGTATGTGGAAATTGGGACTTCAGGTCAAGACCTGGACCTAGTAGCTTGAAAAACATGCTAGGCACATGTGTGTGCCTGCCCAAAATTTCAACAGGAGGGAAAATGGATTAGTGATTGCAACATGACCATCCCCATGAGGCTGCTTTCTCACTTTGCTTCTTGCTGTTTCACTCCAGCAAGTGCATATACCCTCTGACAAAAAAAAGGATACAAAACATTGGGAAATACAGATAAGCAAAAAGATAAAAACAAACAGGAAAGTGGTGGGAAAAACCACGCTGTACACTATAAAGATGTACTGTGATTAAATGTAAATGTAAAAAAATACTTTATTTAACTTTATTATTATTTTCCAGTTTTCATCAGAGACAGAGAAAGAGAGAGAAAGAAAGTGAGAAAGCCAGCCACCAGGTCAGGGCCTTGAACCATGGGTGGCCACGTGGGAGTCTAGCACCTTTAGCCACCACGCCACCTGCCAGCCCCTAAATTAAAGAGACTAAAAATAAAAAAGTGCCAGCAGGTGGTAAGATGGTTAAGACACTGGCTTCCCATATGGCCAATAGTAGTTTGAGTCCTAGACATGGCAGCTTGAAAATCACTACAAATTAATGGAAAACAACAATAACAATGACCAGAAAAGTAACTGTTTAAATCAGCAGAAGCACCGTCTAAAGGTGGCAGAGGTAAAGCCCACACTGGAATGAGGCTGTGGCGGGCGGTGCAGGGACTCGGAGTCCAAGCCCGGTATGTGCTCTACTTACTTGAGGACAGCGATCTCTTGGACCGTGATAGCCCTTTTATCTTTGGTTCCCATGTAGGAGAATATATTCGGCTTGACCCTGGCCAGATAGAAACAAAACCATCTGAAGTCACATACCTTAAAGAAATCATAGTTCTCATAAATTAAATTTCAAATTAAGTATACTTAAAATCATAACAGCATTGGAGAACAAGGAGAAATCTTATTTACAAATTTATCTAGGAAAATATAAATTAATACACATGCTAAAAAAGCAAGGGATACCCCAATAACTCTAAACAGTACTTACTTAGAATATTTGTTACATGTGCTATAATTTGCTACAATAACTCTAAGCAGTACTTGCTTAACTCTAACTTGTGGTTCATGGGACCAACGGATGGGGCGGTGCTTAAGGTGATGAACTCCCACATGTTTTGAGTCCCAGACCTGGCAGCTTGAAAATCACACCAGGCACATGTGCATGTGTGAGTACCCAAAATCTTAAGGGGAGAATGGAGAAGGGACTGTGGCATGGCCATCTCCTCTGATGGGTGATTTCTCACTTTCCCTGTCTGTCTCTCCTGCAAGCACAAGTGCCCTATACCTTAAAAAAAAAAAAGAGTATTTATAACTAATGTTGTTCAAAGATTTGGCTAGCCAGTAACAAAAAGTAAACAATTCACTTTCTACTGATCATATACAATTAATCTGATTATGTAAAACAGGGAAAGAAAAATTCACTATTGAGATGTAACATATCACTTTGGGAATTTTGCATCTACAATATTGAGAAAAAGTTAATCATGTGAATTTTCCCAATATATGAGCTACAGCTTTGTATGAAAAAGTCAAATGCTAAAACAGGGATCTAAATAGTTCTGATGTGAAAATATAGTAAACCAGTTAAATAAGAGGTATTTTTGAGTCCTGAGCAATTCCTAACTCCAGATTCCGAAGGAACCCTCTTTCTTTTCCCTTGTCAAGAACTGTCTATTCTCATGAGCTTAGGTACAGTGACAGTACTAGAGGCTTTCCCAGAGACCTAGTAAACGGGGTGTAATACAATGTTACTTAATTGGGTACTGTGTGTTGTGAGCTATACTATGGCCCCTCGGAATCAGTATGTTGAAGTCCTGGCCCCCAGTATCTCAGAACGGTCAGCAAGGACCCTAATCTGGTCTGACTCGTGTCTTCTAAGAGGAAATTTAGACACAGAGAAGTACCAGGGACACATGTATACAGGACAACCACATGAAGATACACTGAGGGGCAGCCTTCTGTAAGCCATGGAAAGAAGCCTTGGGACAGAAAGCAAATCTGCTGACACCTTGATTTTAGGACTTGCAGAACTTCCAGAAATTAATTTCTGTTGTTTAAGCTAGTTGGGCTGTAGTATTGGGGCATAGTATTTGGTTTTGTTTTCTTTTTAGGTTTTTGCCATAAGGCATGTGAAATTGCTAGAGACAGAGAGGGAGGGAAAGTGAGAAAACACCCCCTGGGAGGGAAGGCCCACTGCAATCCCTTCTCCATTTTTCTCTCAGGATTTTGGGCAGGCATGCACCTGCACTTGGCACGATCTTTAAGCTGCTAGGTCCAGGACTTGAACGGCATAGTCGGCCATGTGGGAATCCAGTGTCTTAACCACCATGCCACCTGTTGGCACCAAGACTGTGGTATTTTGTTATGGCTGTCTTAGTAAACCAATACACTGTTTACCATGTTTAAATGAAGCTAAATGTACAAGACAGGAAGCAAATTTTCATAATGTTTAAATTTGGTGTGGTACCTATAGGCATGTCTATTAAAAAAGAGGGACAAGCTCAGTGGCATATGCCACTTAAACAATGCTGGCTCCACTTGTGGTATTCTTTTTATTTTTACTTAAAAACCATATGCAAGATCATGGGTTTGATTCCCTGGGCCATAAACCCATCATCCTGGCTAGCTGGGAGGCTTAGAGATAGTTAGCAATGTGAGACACTACTGAGGGTACTTGTCTTTCTCTCTGCCTCTCATTCTCATGAAAGAAATAATTTAAAAGAAGAGCTTCAGCCCTGTCTACCCTTAGATACCATCACCTCTGCTGTATCTGCATTCCTATGAGAAAATCCAAGTGGTCTCAGGTTTTCCATCTAGACAGGCTCTAAGAACTGAGAGCTCCCAGTTTGGTAAGGCCAACTTCTGCAACCACATCAATGTGTAGGCTTTCGGGGAAGAAACTTAATTTTTTACTTTGAGCTGGACAGATGGTAACTCTCAATTGTACGTGTGAACTGTTCACTTACAGAATTTTCACCCTGAATTATTGGCAATATGCATGAAAGTCAAAAGAAATTAATTCACCTCTAGCATAAGAAAATGATCACTGGGATGCATGTCTGCTGTGCATCTATGCTCTTGCTCCTCTGTCCCTGAGCACGGAATGAGAAAATACGTTGCTGTTGTTTAGATTTTGTACAGGTACAAGAACAAGATACTAACCTCAAATATTTGGACAATACATTAATAGCATCCATGGTATCTTTGTTTTCCTTGTAGAGTACAAAGTGGCAGTAACTTCCCCTAGATTTTGGCCAAGAATGTTTTCTTGGATCTTAAAAACAAAAAAATGGAATGTTACATATACTATAACAGAAGCTCTGTTTTTCTTATAAAACACTACAGAGCTCAATTTTTGCTCCAGATCTTGGGAGAAAACATCTAGTTTGATGGGAAATACAGGTTAAGTGGTGGTTATAGCAGTATGAACTACAGGTATTAAACTTCCTGTGACTGAACACTTAACATTAGCTGCCCATTTTAAAGATCAAAACCTGAAACGAAGATGGTGCGAAAAACAGCTAAGCCCAACGTGTGTCCTTTACCCAGGAGAGGGTTGGAGGAGATCCACCCTGCCCCTGCCCGCAGTTCTTCATCAGCACCGGTCTGACAGGTGTGCCAACCGGCTTTCTAGAACACAAGCTGTCCAGAGGGAAACAGCAGCTGTGACAGTGCCTATATGCCCTGTTTCATGGCCACAGGCAGGCGTTCACACCTCTGTAGGTCGAATGCCTTAGGGCAATTGGGGCTCAAGGGGAGGATTATTTGGGGTGTCTTGGTAACACCTTTAGATTTCCCAAAGGCCATGTCCATCACAAAAGTTTAGGCCAATGTCTACAGATGTCTACCTGCCAGAGAACAGCTGCCATGCAAGAACTGACCATCACTCTTGGGAAAAAAGAAACGAAAAAGTAAGCCAGGTTAAATGCTAACTTCGGAGCTAGTGTCACTTTGACTGTTCAACTCTTTGGAGGGTGACAAATACTTTGTGACCTCGAAAAATCTAATTTTTGATTTTTTAAAACCGTTCTTTTAATTGAGTATTTCAGTTTTATTCTAATATTCAAAATATTTAAAATAATAAAGTATTTAGATTAGAGCTACTCAAAGAATATTTTGAAAAATAAATACTTTGGGAAAAATACCTAACCCTACTGTACTTTACAGACATTGTACAGTAACATTCACAGTTCTTGCGTGACCTAGAGTCTCAGCTGTCGTGGGAATAACACATCTAGTTCATTTAATTCCTGTAAGTCCAAGAAAGAACTGTGAAAAAAAAAATTTCATACAATCCTTAGAGCCTCCGTTTGTCTGCTCCTAAAATAATCCTTTCTAAGAAATTCAAGGATCCTTCATCTCCAGGAGTTTCAAGATAATCCCGGTGTAGAAGTTACCTGGATACCTGGCTTTGTCAAGGCAAAAAAGCACTGTTAAAAAGGTTACTTAAACTACAATGTGAAGGACAGAAGCACCAACAAACCATCTCAGGAAACTGTCATACCAAGTATGCCTGATGAATTATTAATATTTTTCCTTCTTGATAAATATGAGTCTTATCTGTCCAATACAGAAAAGTAGTACAAGCATTTTTTCCCACAAGCATTTCTTTAGGTCTTGGTGTGAATTCCTCACAAACTCCTCAGAAATGGTGAGTAGGAAGACCATTTTCAGTTTCCCTTCCAGCTCATTCAGTTAAGCAAAGGTGTCTGTACTTAGTGCTTGTGACAAAATCATTGGCATTTTCATTTTATCTACATGAAACGCCAACTGCTCTTACCTGCTGCAGTTTTGACCTCTGTCCAATGCACAGCGTAAAGAGCACAAGAGAGCAATGTTTAATTTATAATATTAAAGTGCTTTAGAGGTGGACATGCAAAATGATCGCATGGTAAGTTTACATTGAGACATCTAGGGTGCTTGGGAGTTACGTGGTGGGTTAACAGCCATGTAGACATGACGATGGAATGTTGTGGAAGCAAACAGTGAAGGAGGAGAAGACTCACATAGGGGTGTAGCCTCCCTGGCTCAATCCCTTCACAATGGGCATGTCAGAGGCCCACTGTCTAGACCCATGAGATGGAGCCAACAGTTAATACTTAACGTCACTCAGAGATTTGTTTTCTTAACTATGAGGGGAAATATACCGAAATGCTATCTGTGATTGTCTTCTGGTGGTAAGACTGCAAGCAGTTATTGTTTTGCTTTGTATTTTTCTGTATTTTATGAGTTTTCTACCTTGAATCATAAAGACTTTAAAAAAAATTTGAATATTATAAAAAACAATTCTGTAAGCTCTGTAACTTTAAATGAAAAGACATTTAAAGATGATTTAAGAGACTTATCCAATGAATGCCGTGCTCACCCTTGTTTGTATCATTATCTGAGTACGCCCTTTGTATGTAAGAGAGATTTTTGAGATAATCGGGGGAAAACTGCACATGCAATGGGTATTACGTGTTAAAAATTATTGATGATTTTGTTGGATGGTCTGGGATTTTAGCCCTTATCTAAAATCATACTGAAGTATCTGAGTGAAATGACAAGCTACATGGAACTTGCTTTAAAATGCTCTAACAAGGAAAAAAAGGGGGAAAAAAGTAGGGTAGATACATAAATGAAAACAACAGAATACTGATAATCTGGAAGATGGACAATGGGTACAGATGAGTTCCATATACTACCTCCATTTGTGTGCACATTTGAAAATATACAAAATAAAAAATGTAAAAAAACAACTTATGCTTCTATAAGTTGACAAAACATAGGTACATTTTTCCTCGATTTCCCCTTCATTATGTTCACAATTAAGTATGATGGCAAGAAGTAAATAAAGTCACAGGACTGAAAAACTCCTTCAGAGAAACCATGACAACCGAGTATGAGTTTGGGCTCATAAGTATGCATCTTTGATTAGCAAATCCAAGCACCGGGCATGCAATGATCTTCTCTGCAAATTACAGATACAAGTACTCTTTTTCTAAGTGCACTCAATATACAAAATAGTAAGCATATGCATTGATTAACTGGGAATATTTTGAATAGAAAACCAGTTAAGTTTCAACTTATTTTGGGCAATTAGTTTGACTATAAAATTCCAATCCCTAAGAGTGCTAGGTAGCATATACAGGTTGAGTAACCCTTATCCAAAATCCTCGGGACCAGAAATGTTTTAAATTTCTGATTTTTACAGATTTTGGAATATTTGTACATATACAATGATATCTTGGGGACAGGATCCAAGTGTAAACACGAAGTTCATTTAAATTTCATAACAGGGGCTGGCAGGTGGCGTGGTGGTTGAGGACGCTGGACTCCTACATGGCCAACCATGGTAAGAGTCCTGAACCTGGTGGCTTGCTTTCTCACCCCCCTGCCCCCTCTCAAATACGAAGGAAGGAAAGTTAGTTAAATAAATAATTCTTTAAAAAAATTCATATGTAAGCCTGACATTTCATACATAGCTGAAGTTAATTTTTAATTGCTAAAGGGTATGTGCACTCATTCGAGAAAGACAGAGAGACAGAGAAAGCATTCCCCAGTGGGGCATAGTCACGCCACAATCCCTTCTCCATTTCCCCATTCTATTGTGATTTGGGGCATGTACACTCATGAGCCCAGCATGTCCCTCAAACAGCTGGGGGTGGGATTTGAACCACAGCTGGCTGTACAGAATCTGGGTCCCCTAACCGCTAGGCTATATGGTCGGTCTCCTAAAGGTAATCTTAAACATTATTTTTGTATTGCAACATTTTGACTGTGATCCACCACATGCGGTCAGATGTAGAACTTTCCACTTGTGGCATTATGTCGGTGCTAAAAAAGTTTTAGATTCTAGAGCATCACAGATGACATTATTCAGATTTCTGGATTAGCCGTGCTCAATCTGTACTTTCTGACGTTTTAGAGACACTCTGACGTTTAATATGTTTAATACACGCAAACGTTTCTCAGGCTGAGTAATATGCTTCCTACTTTGAGAAGGTTCCTTCTACCTTCTAATGGTCTGCCAGGGCAGCCCCAGTCTAGTAGGGATGGAAACCAGATAAAAGGGGAAATGAGGTTCAGGAAGAGCGATGCATGTACCAAGCACAGAGATCCCCACAAACAAGGAAGGAAAAATGTGTACAGCTTGAGAAAGATGACAGGACGGGGTAGCATGCAGAGCATTCTTTCCTTCTTATTCAAGGCCATTCCCAGCAGTGCGTCCTGCACACCAACCTTTGGGTTTACTCAGTTCTGCTCCACCCATTATCTTTATTTTATTACCCCCATCCTTGAATTGTTCACCCTCCCTCTCCAAGGGCTAGCATGTTTGCTTCAGTATATAAATATGCTCATGGCTCTTCCATCAGGAAAGCCACACCTATGTCCTCCTTTGCATAACCATGTTCCATTCCTCTCTCCTCTTCATGGATTATTTGGAAAAAGAATCTGTACACACTTCCTTCCACATCAATCTACTATATAAACGGTCTCTAACCTCCTCATTCCACGAACGCTGCTCTGGTAAAAGGCCACTGAGTTTCCCATGTTGCTAAGGTGATGGACACTTTTCAGAGTTCTAGTCTTGTTGGACCTATCTGTACCATTTTCTACCGCTGATCCCTCTGATTATTGAGATTCCTTATTGCTGTGGATTCTGTAATACCACTCTCTCCCAAGGGCTTCTTTCCCTTGAATCTCTGTGCATCCTGAAATCTAGAGATTCCCTCCTGCAAACCATTCATTTCAGAAAGACTAAAAGAGCCTGAGAATGCCACACGCAGAATATTTTAAAATTTTTACTTAAGCCTTTGAAAACTTAAGTTCTTTCTTTTTAAAGAATTATTTAATTTACATATTTATTTATTTTTAATTTGCGATAGGTCATGTGCGCTCACCAGAGAGAGACAAAGAGAGAGGGAGAAAGTGAGAAAGCAAGCCACCAGGTCCAGGACTTGAACCACAGTTGGTGGCCATGTGGGAGTCCAGCACCTCAACTACCATGCCACTTGCAGGCCACCAAAACTTAAATTCTTAAGAGGCACATTTATCTCAAAATGTAATTTAATCTACTGGGTTGTCGGAAAAGTCATTATGTATTTTTTTCTATTATGTATTTTTTCTATGATCTGTTTTTCTATGCAAGAATGTGTTATGACTTTTCCAACAACCCAATACCTACCTACCGATGTAATGTTGTAATAGTTAGATGATATTAAAAAAAAAAATACCCTAGGTGTGCTTTGGAAGGTAAAGCAATGTGCCCTACCAGACTGGCTTAACACAAAATAATTTCTAAATTTAAACAGTTGGTAATTTGTGGTGTTTGGGCATAATGATTCAGAATCTACCACCTCTATTTGAGGGAAATTTAGGCTAAGAATACTGCAAAACTGCCAGATAATACACAATTCATCAATAACAACTTATATTAGGGTTTGGTGATAAAGGAGCTTAAAAATGTTATAAATTGCAAGGTTATGCAATAAAGCTTTAAAATTGGTTCATTCGGGGCCAGCAGGTGGTGTGGTGGCTAAGGGCACTGAACTCCCACATGGTCAAGTGCGTTTCAAGTCTCAGATCTGGTGGCTTGCTTTCTTGTTTTCTCTTTCTCCCCCCATCTCTGGTCAAATTTAATTAATTAACTAATTAATTAAGGTAAATAAAACAATTCTTTTGGGGGGGCAGGGGGAGAGGTTTTTGCTATAGGGTGCATGCACTCACCAGAAAGACAGAGAGAAAGAGAGAAACAGAAAGTGAAATATCACCCCCCAGGGGGTGATGGCCAAGCTGCAATCCCTTCTCCTTCACTCTCTTCTTGGGATCTTGGGTACGCACCCACATGCACCTGGTGTGAGTTTAAGCTACCGGGTCCGAGACTCAAACCATGGTTGACTACATGGGAGTCCAACAACATAGCCATTACGCCAAATGCAGGTCCCTAAATAAAACAATTCTTTAAAAAAAAAAAAAAAGTTATTTCATTCAAATGCTGGGTGTGGCAGCCCAGGAAGACAAGCTGTCATTGGTACAGGTTCTACTTGCTGGACCATGAGCAAGTCTCCAGAAAACAGTACTCCCTGCTACAACTCTTCAAGCCCAAGAGATTTAGATCTCTGCAGGAATTGATGCAATCTGACCTCTCTTCACCTCTCCCTGAAGATTATTTATTATTATTTTTAGGTTTGCCCTAGGGCATGTGTGTTCATCAGAGAGAGACCGACAGAGAGAGGGAAAAAGAAAAAGCAAGCTGCCAGCTCCAGGATTGAAACTGGGGTCAGCCATGTGGGAGTCCAGCGCTTCAACTATCATGCCATATGCTGGCCCCTTCTCCTTCTTTTTAAAGTGAGAAATTAATATTTTACTGAAGATGTCCAAAGGGAGATGGGGGCAGCTCTACATTTCACTTAGAAAATGGCAAGGAAATTTTGGATGGGAAAAAAAATGAGAGGTGGGTTGTGGTTTAGTAGAGAAAATGCAGATAAAGACAACAAAAGTGATCTAGCACCAGTCATGTAAGGATGGAAAACCTGGGCCTGCAAACCCTCCCCTCGCAAAATAGCTTTCCGTAAGGAATGGTCCTATTTGAGAAGCAACTGGTCAAGACCGCAGCCATTGCCTTTTCCACTCTGCTTCCTCATGACCACACTGAGAAGACCAGCCCTGCCTAACTTCCTCGCCTTCACAAGGGCGGGTGCCGCGGGCTACTGATCAAAGTGGGCTGCCTCTCCATGGGGAGCAGTTGTCAGGCGGCCTTCCGAACCTGGATCCTTGAGACTTCTGACCGAAAGTCCTGCAGCAACTACTGTCTGCGGTATCACCTTCTCTCCAGGCTACCTAGAATAGCTACTAGCCACTCATCCTTGGGACAGTTGTAAAAACAGTCACACATCATTTCCACTGGGCTTGCTTTTCCTGAGCAACCTTGGCTGGAGAAAGACTGCTAAGGTTACATCCTACAGTGTGACCCACCAGGCAGTACAGAAACAGAGGAACTAAGCAATTAGTTCATGGACTGCAAAGTGATGAACAACTCACGCTCCAAGCAGTCCCGCAATGCATCATTATTTACTTTGTGGTGTCCACTGAGAAATGGCCTCTGACTTCCACCTTCTTTTTCACAACTGCTCAATGTTTCTCATTTCTACATCACTCTGCAGACTTGTGGATTTTACTAGGTTATTTCCTCAGGCATAGCTAAACCTTACTTCTGCTCCCTTTTCTCCTTAGACCTTCTCATTTCTTTAGAACCGTGGTTATGAACATTTGAGACTCTCATTCATTGTCTTACCTTTTAAATGAATAAGAAGATACTGACAAAGTCCCAGTGGTCTGAACAGTCTTTTACTTTATAGTCTTGGAGTTTGGCTTTAACAAACATATCTAGAAATAACTGATGACCAATAGGGGCTATCATTGGCAGGGGAGGAGGACAAGGAAAGTAACGTTTTCTTGCTGTAATTTTCCTTAAAGGCTCTATGGAAATACACATCTTCACAGCTGTCGAAAATACATGAGAACGTATCTAAGTGACTCACTGACATATCCTCGTTTCAAATGAATGACACCCTGTAAGAGACGGGCTTTGGCAAGGGGATATCTTGCACGTATCTTCCATACGTTTTACGTGTGAGTGCAGAAGAAACCTGCAGTTGGAAGGCAGAAGCCCTTTCAGTATGGGGACCTTGCAGAAAACATTGGGAGATGTGACCAAGCAGTTTTTTGTTCATCTGAAAGCACTCTTCCCTCCGTTAAGAACACCGAACGAGCAGTAATCCCTCCCATTTTCTTCTCTAATTGCCACTCAGCCGGCTCTGCTCTTTACACTCTATCTCAGGCTCCGCTATCATATCAGCAAATATTTAGTCGCGTAAAAGAACTAAGGCTCTCTCCCAGACAGACAGTATGCGGGATTGCTCTGGCACTGGAAATGACAATATGCCCCCTCTGAGGAGCGACATGATCAATATGCTGCTCTGAACAGCAGTGAAGAAGCCTGTGAACAGGAACGGGCAAGGAGGGCGAGGAGCAGGGTTTCTCTCATGGCCGCCTGGGCAGGAGGGAACCGGCTGTCACGCACTTACTTGCCAGAGCCTTCTTTCCAGCTGCATGGTAGGCTACAATGAACTTCTTCCCCTCTCTGTCCTCTGTTTTGGTCTCTAATCCTGGAAACAGAGATTTAATAGCCTGATGGATGACAGTTCTTTTCTCTTTGGTGTCCTCAATAACCTATTAAAAACACAGTGAAATCACTGATTTAACAAATATTCAACAGGCAAGTAATGCAGTAAGTAAAAACAGTGTTCCTCTTATTAACTGTGCAAAAGAACTAAATTACCTGAGTATGATTTCAGAAATATATATATTTTTAAATTTCATTCATTCATTCATTCATTTTAATTTGACCAGAGAGACAGAGAGAGAGAGAGAGAAAGTGAGAAAGTAAGCGACCAGGTCCAGGACTGGAACCATGGTTGACCATGTGGGAGTGTCCAGCGCCTTAACCACCACACCACCTGCTGGTCTCTGATTTCAGAAATATTTATAGTTTTCCCTTTATTTACGATAGAGGGCATTTGTACATGGGAAAGAAAAAGAGAGAGAAAGAGAGAAATGAGGACCCTCTATGTGGTCTGGTCATTCCACCATCCCTTCTCCCACCCTCAGATCCTGGGTACCCTTGAGTGTACCTGGCATATTTCAGGGTGACTAGGCTGGGAGATCATGCGGTGGTCACCGGGTGGATCACTATATAGGTCAGCTAAGTGGTGTACCACTGTAGTACCATGGAGCTGGCCCTGCAAACCTTTTCGAGCTTCGCAGTACTGCAAACCCTAAGAGCCTGCTAAGTGTGCATGGTCATGAGCCAAGCACTATACAGAACCCTTCATATTCACCGTTTCTGGAAATTCCAGCTGTGTGACTATGGAACCAACCACAGACACTTCCACTCATGGTCATGCTGGAAAACACCTCGGAGCTCACAGATGAAGACGCAGGCCAGTCAGGGCTTTTGAAAAACATGCCAGGTATGCATGCATGTGTGCCCAAAATCTTGACTGGACGGAGAAATGAAGAAGAAACTGTGGCATGACCATACCCACTAGGAGTGGCTTTCTCTGTGAGTGCATGTACCTTCCGGCACTTAAAATAAAAGAAGAAATGAATGAATGAATGAATGGGTCTAGATCTAGCTCTAGTGATGTTTGCTGGACACTGCTGCTTGATAGGCTGAAGCCACAAGAGAGGACTGGGTTTGAATCTCAGCCTACCCTAAGAGCCAGGCACAGTGGTACACACCTGTAGCTTCAGTCACTTGGAAGTCCAAATAAGGAAGATTAGAACAAAATAAGACCCTATCTAAAAAATATTAAAATATTAAAAAACAGGACCAGCAGATGGCATAATGGTTACATCGCTGGATCCCCAGGTCGTTGATCTCGGTTCACGACTTGGAGCCGGTGGCTTGAAACTTATGCCACATGTGTTTATGACCCCAAGATCCTGAGAAGAGAATGGAGAAGGAATTGCAGCATGGCCAACCCCCAGGTGGTGATTTCTCACTCTCTGTCTCTCCAGTGAGCACACGTGCCTTATGGCAAAAATCTCTCTTAACAAACAACCCCTCGCCAAAACCAAATACATTGTCCAGCTACTATGGAATAGTGGTAATGCAAGTATCCTACAAGGCTGAAAGCAGTTTGACTAGGGGTTCAAATCCTTGGGGTGGCTTGAGGACACACTCAGTGAAAGTATAGGTGTTCAGAACCCTAAGCAACTAGAGGGCTGGGGACAGGAGCTCACAGCATGACAGGCCCCTGTCAAGGGTGTTCCCTCCTTCCTGTTGAATAGGTGTGTGCACGTGTGCTTGCTGTCATTAAAGACAAAACAGAAACACACACAGACCCAGAACAGGACAGATCTGGAAATACTGACAGTGAGCTAGAATCATAGTCTGTAAGTATGAGTACATATCTAGGCTTCAAAAATTCAGAAAGTCCTTCTCCTCACTTTACAGGTAAGGAAACTTCCCCATAGTTTATGCCTGCTAAATGTAAAGACTTTTAGTAGATGATGTAAACAGTTTATTTATTTAATTTTCTTTCTTTTTTTTTTTTGGAGAGATTTTTGCTATAGGGTGCATGTGCTCACCAGACAAACAGAGACAGACAGACAGACAGGAAGAGAGAAATCATCCACTAGGGGGATGGTCACGTCACAATCCCTTCTCTTGGGATCTTGGGCACGCACGTACACACACCCGGCGTGAGTTTAAGACACGGGGTCTGGGACATGAACCGTGGTCAACTACATGGGAGTCTAGTGACGTAGCCATTACGCCAACTGCTGGTCCCGTAACCACAGTTTTTAAGATGGCAGTTAATTCAGCCACACATGTAGGAAAATATACACTGTGCTAAGACATAGGAATAAACTGTGAGCAAGAGAAACTGGACCACCTTCCTGAATTGCTCTCAAAACCTATTCCTGGGGATGCACAGTCATATGGCAGTGGGGGCACATGGGAAGGTTCTGAGTTTGTATCTGGAGAACTCCTTGAGTACACTGGGAACGCCTGTGTTCATGATCCGGGCCTGGCTGAAGCAAGAGGTAGGTAACAGTCTCAGGATCCTATTGGGAGTGCTGTCACTCTTGCTCATGGGAAAAATAAACTTTTTTTTGGGAAAGGTTTTTGCTATAGGGTGCGTGCGCTCACCAGAAAGACAAGAGACAGACAGACAGAAAGCAAGAAATCACCCCCCCAGGGGGCATGGCCATGCCACAATCCCTTCTCCTCCATTCTCCTCTCGGGATCTTGGGTATGCATGCACACGCGCCTAGCGTGAGTTTAAGCCATCAGGTCTAGGACTCGAACCACGGTCTACTACATGGGAGTCCAGTGACATAGCCATTATGCCAACTGCTGGAAAAATATGGCTTATGTTTTATTTCTACCATTTTTTTTTTTGGTATAGTAAAGCAGGGAGGGGTCCCAGAAAATGGGTTGCCCTATTTCACTATTTAGCACTAATCTAGGAGGCGTGTGCATGTGTGTGCCCCAAATCCCGAGAAGATAATGAAGAAGGGATTTGGGCCATCTCTGTGGGGTGTGTGATTTCTTGCTTTCTCTTTCTATATCTCCCCGTCTCTCCAGCAAGCGCATGCACCCTATAGCAAAAATCTCTCTCTCTCAAAAAAAGAGCCATCAGAGGCGTCAGCAGGTGGCATGGTGGTTGAGGTGTTGGACTCCCATGTGGCCGACCATGGTTCAAGTCCTGGAGCTGGCAGCTTGCTTTCTTATTTTCCATCTCTCTCTCTGGTCAAATAAAAAAATAACAATAAGTAAATGCAAATAAATAAATAGTTCTTAAAAACAAAAACAAAGGCATGTATTTGTCTGGTAGAAGAGCTCTCCTTTTCTGGAATAGCAGAAACAGATCCAGGTTGAGTGAAGAAATGTTCCCTTACCCCCTTTCCCTAGTTCCTCCCACTCATAGAGCCCCACTGAAGACCAAGAAGCTACTGAAGCCACAGTCTCCCTAATAAGGACACACACTGCCTATAGGGCAGGAATGGGCCTGTTACAATAGACACATTATCACTGTCATGCTGTGGTTTCTTTCTCCCCCACCTCCCAAATTTCTTTCTTTCTTCCCTCCCTCCCATTCTTCCTTTCTTTAAATTTGACTAGAGGGGGACAGAGTGAGATTGAGAGGGAGGGAGGGAGGGAAATAAGAAAATGAACTCCCAGTTCTGGAATTTGAAACATGGTTGGCCAAGTGAAGGCCTAACACCCTTAACTACCACGCCACCTGCAGGCTCCTCTGCTTTCTAAAATATAGAAATCCACAGCTTCTTTGAGGATTGGTGGTTGTATAAATGGTTTTAGGGCTAGCCTTGCAGTGCAGTAGTTAGGTGCTGCACCCAGGAAGCTGGATGTCACATGGTCCGCCAGGGTTCGAATCTCAGTCTAGTCCCCTTGAAAAAACATGCCTGGGGGCTGACAGATGGCGTGGTGGTTAAGGATGCTGGACTCCCACATGGCCGACCGTGGTTCGTGTTCCAGACCTGGCGGCTCTCCCTCTCTCTCTTGTTCTGTCAAATTAAAATAAAGTTAAACAGAATAATTCTAAAGGAAAAAAAAGAACAACAAAGAAACCCATGCCTGGCAATGCAAATATGTGTCCGGTATCCTGATGGGATGGAGAACTGGAGGAAAAAGGACGGTGGGGTGGCAAGGCCGATTGGGGGATACATGTCCCCCCACTCCCAGGGCACATGCCTACTGGCATTTATTTATTTATTTTTTAAGAGATATTTTTGTAACAGAGAGCTATGCATTCACTGGAGACATGAAGAGAGACAGAGACAGGAAGAAAGAAATCACCCCTCCGGGGGGATGATCATGTTGTAATCCTCCATTCTCCTCTTGGGATTTTGGGCAAGCATGCATACGGGCCCAGCGTGAGTTTTAAGTCGCAGTGTCCGAGACTTGAACCACGTTCAACTATGTGGGAGTCCACTGATGTAACCATTATTCCATCTGCTGGTCCCATGCCTACCGGTTTTAAAAAGAATGTTTTTAGGGGACAACAGGTGATGTGGTGTTTAAGGCGCTAGACTCCTACATGCCCGATTGTGTTTCGAGTCCTTGACCTGGCACCTTAAGAATCACAACAGGTAGGGACCAGCAGTTAGCGTAATGGCTATGTTGCTGGACTCCCATATAGTCAACGGCGGTTCGAGTCCTAGATCCGGTGGCTTACACTCACTCTGGGAGCGTGTGCGTGCATGCCCAAGATCCCGAGAGGAGAATGGAGGAGAAGGGATTGTGGCATGGCCATCTCCCCTGGGGGGTGATTTCTCGCTTTCTGTCTCTGTCTTTCTGGCGAGTGCATGTGCCCTATAGCAAAAAACCTGTCAGAAAAAAAAAAAGAATGACTCATGACAGGTGCATGTGTATGCGTGCCCCAAATCCTGAGAGAATAGAGAAGTGATTGTGGTGTGGCCATACCCCCCTGGGGGGTGGCTTCTCACTCCTCCCTCCCTCTGTCTCTATCTTGCAAGTGCATGCATCCTGTAACAAAAACCTTGGGACCAGCAGTTAGCATAATGACTATATTGCTGAACTCCCATGTAGTCGACCGCGGTTCGAGTCCCGGACCCAGCGGCTTAAAATCAAGCTGGACGTGTGTGTGTGCGTGTGTGCCCAAGATTCCGAGAGGAAAACGGAGGAGAAGGAATTGTGGTGTGGCCATTCCCCTGGGATTGTGATTACTCGCTTTCTGTCTGTCTCTTTCTGTCTTTCTGGCGAGCACATGTGCCCTATAGCAAAAACCTCTCAAAAACAAAACAAAACAAAAAAACCTTTAAAAGAAAGTTTTTAAACAAAAAATAAAACTTTTTCTTCAGGAGGGACTACAGTTCAGGATACTGGTCATTTATCTTGATAAAAGTATTTTTTTTTTAGTGCAATGCCTTTTTATATTGAAAGAGCAAGGTCAACCTTCTGTTAACCATTGTAATTTTTTCCATAGATATTTATGAACATGCATCCAAAAGAAACAACCAGACACTAAAAATATTTTCCAATATTTTTTGCACCATTTACCTCAATGGCAACACTGGCTTCCTTATTCTTAAAAAGCTGGAGCTCTTCCAAGCGCTGCTTTTCTTCAGCTGTCAAAACCGTAAATACGTCTTCTGAGGGATCCTTTAAAATAACATGACAACTCACAGCAAGTCATACACTCAGTTCAAGGCTATTAGAGGTACAGATTTCTAAGCTCTCTAGGAAGTACTACTTTTAAACGGAAGGCGATTTTTGCTAGAGAGCTACTCTTACCTCCTCATCCACTGGAACAGACAAGTCATCCAAATGGCTGATCCGTCCATCTTTTCCTATTTCATGGACGACGAAGTCGGAGTACCTGATGAAAAGAAAAGAAGAGCTTTAAGCGAATTAGTATTTTGTTTCCTATTAGTCTTAGGACAAAGTTCATCAACAGAGCCTTACTACAGTCCAAAAAAAGGAACACAAATAAAATCTTCAGTGCAAATTCAGATAAACTTATTTTTTTCTGGTTTCTTAAGGAATGCTAAGTCACACCTTAGCTCAGGTTTTAGATCAGAACTTAAGGAAAAGACCATGTGACCTTCTTGAATATTCTTCCAGAGAAATGCATAAACAAAAGCTTGTTAGTCCTGTGATTACAGATAGCCCATTCTCAACTGAATCACAATACAGTAAATGGCTAATTAAGTCAGAACCCAGTAAGTCTACTATAAACTACCTTGAAACATTATTTTGTGTTTCTTTCTTCCTTCTTTCTGTTGAGGTTTTTGTTATAGGGTGCGTGCGCTTACCAGAAAGATAGAGACAGAAAGAGAGAAATCACCCGCCGGGGGGATGGCCATGCCGCAATCCCTTTTCCTCCATTCTCCTCTCAGGATCTTGGGCACGTACACACACGTGCCTGGCGTGAGTTTAAGCCACTGGGTCTGGGACTCGAACCACGGTCAACTACATGGGAGCCCAGCGACATAGCCACTGTGCCAACTGCTGGTCCCATATGTGTTTCTTTACACACATTATTAAAAATTCTTTCGACAACCCTAATGCAGTATTATAATCCTTTTTTTGGATGAGGATACTGAGGTTCAGAGGAGTAAAGTAACTTTTTTAAAAAAGAATTATTTTATTTAACTTTTTTTTATTTGTTTATTTCCATTTGACTAGAAAGGGATAGCATAAGAGAGAAAGAGAGAGAAAAAGTGAGAAAGCAAGCTGCCAGGTCCGGGACTCGAACCACAGTTGGCAATATAGGAATCCAGCGTCTTTTAAGTACCACACCACCTGCCGGCCCCGAGTCAAGTAACTATTAAGTGGCTGAACTATCAGTTCACACTCAGACCATCTGACTGCAAACACCACCTTCTTTCTACTGTAGATGTCACACGTTTATATGACAGAGTTTAACACTTACAACAAATTAAGAAAACGTGAAATCACTTCAAATAAGTTATTTTGACAAAATTAACAATACCTATTCACACATTAATAATGCACGCCACTGGGAAATTGTTTATGTATTCAAAAGTTTTTGGAAGAATCTTCCCTTGATTAAAACTGACCATGGTTTCTATTTATTTTAAGGTATTTGGGGGCTGGCCCCATGATCTCATGGTTAAGGGAGCCAGCTCCAACATTGCCAAGTGCAGTTTGAATCCTGGACCTAGCAGATTTAGAAACACTCTGGGTGCATGTGCATGTGTGCCCAAACCCCATCAGGACGGAGAAGGGATTACAGCATGATCATACCTACAGTGGAGGGGAGGGTTCTTTCTCCTTCTGTCTCTCAGGTGCACATGTGCCCTCTGACAAATTGAGGAAAAAAAAAAAATAGATATTGTGGCTGGTAGGTGCCATGATGGTTAAGGCACAAGACTCCCACACAGCCAACTATGGTTCAAGTCCTGGACCTGGTGGCTTGTTTTTTCACTTTCCCTTTCACTCTCTGTCTCTCTGGTCAATAATACTGACAAATGAAATTAAATAATTATTTTAAAATATAAACTTAGGAGCCAGCAGGTGGCATGGTGGTTAAAGTTCTGGATTCCCATATGGCTGAAAGTGGTTCATGTACCAGACCTGGCAGCTTGCTTTCTCACTTTCTCTCTCTCTCTGGTCAAATTAAAAAATATTGATGATAAACAAAATTAAATAATTCTTTAAAAAATTGTAAAATAAAATAAACTTATTTCTTTAAAAAAAAAAAATATTAAAAATGTCAAGACTGAGGCCAACAGGTGATGCAGTGTTTGTGGTCCCGGACTCCCACATGGCTAAACGTGATTTAAATCCTGGACCCAGTGGCTTGAAATTCAAGCTGGGTGCATGCCCAAAATCCCAAGAAGAGAATGGAGGAGAAGGGACTGTGGTGCGGCCATCCTCCCTAGAGGGTGATTTCTTATTTTCTGTCTCTCTGTCTCTTTGGCAATCACACGCACCCTATAGCAAAAATCTCTGGGCCAGCAGGTGGTGTGGTGGTTAAGGGCGCTGGACTCCCACATGGCTGACCATGGTTTGAGTCCTGGACCTGGTGGCTTGCCTTCTCTCTCTCTCACTCTGTCCTGGGGCACAGTGAAATTAAAATAAATAAGTAAAGTTAAATAAAATAATTCTTTAAAAAAAAAAAAAAAACCTCTCTTAAAAAAAAATCATAAAACAAAATTCAAGACCATGTACTCATTTAGGGAGCGCTCCATCCTGTTGTTTTTTGACCATTCGTCTAAACAATCCTTACGGATAGCAACCTAACTGGAAGAATATATTGCTGATTTCCTTCTCAAGATAAAACCCGATACTATCACGGTAACTTTATACCTTTATACATAAACTAAACATACCTTTCTTTTAAGATTCCTGAGAATCCTTGGTGAGAACTTACAAACTTGGTGATGCCAACATCCAGTTCTGTGAGCCCATGCTTCATCATGTCTGCAAAACTCTCTGCTTCTTCCTCCTCACCCTCTTCTGAAAGGCCATCTTCTTCCTCCTCTTCCTCTTCTTCCATCTGAGCGTCAGAATCCTTTTTACCTGTCCCAGCGCTTACAGCTGCTGGGGGCACAGGTATGTTTACGCTGCCGGGCACAGAGTCGTTCTCTAGCCCGTCTTGACCTTCGATCAGACAGCATTCTGAGACCTTTTGTTTTTTTGTCTCTTCAGTTGGGGACGCACTGTCATTATCTTCGACAACACGGCATCCACGTTTCAGTGACACACCAGTCATTTCTGTCATCTCCATCTTTAAGGCTCCCAGAAAACATTTAAGAGAACCTTTTAGGAAGAGGGAAAGAAAAAAAAACAGCTAAAAGACATGGGTTTGAGCAAAAGACGCACAGTTTCGCTAAAAATCATTTATTAAAATAATTTTGGTGGAATAGGAAACTGACACGACACTTCTACATGGAATTTGACAGAATGCATCAAAAGTCTTTAATTTGGGGCCAGCAGTTAGCGTAATGGCTGTGTTGCTGGACTCCCACATAGTCTACCGCGGTTCGAGTCCCAGACCCAGTGGCTTTAACTCACACCGGGCGCGTGTGCGTGCGTGCCCAAGATCCCGAGAGGAGAATGGAGGATAAGGGATTGTGGCATGGCCATCCCCCCTGGGGGGTGATTTCTCGCTTTCTATCTCTCTGTTTCTGGCTGGCTGGCTGGCGAGCGCACACACCATATAGCAAAAGCCTCTCAAAAAAAAAAAAAACTCAAAAAAATTCTTTAATTTATTTATGTACACTCTCTGATCCAGAAATACGAGTTTAAGAATTTATCCTAAGAAAAAAAATTAATACTTAACATTTTAGCTGTAGGGAATACTCATCTCAGTGCCTTTTAAATTTTATTTCTTCCGTAAGTGTGCATGTGAGAAAAACGGACAGAAGACAGCGCCCCTAACAAAGTCTTGATGCCAAGACCCACCCCCAGCCACAGTGGGCCTTGAATAATGGGCATTGTATGTCCAATGTACTCAGAGAGGTCTATAGATGAGAACTCAGAACCCTCCTACGTGGGTCAATCTGTAGAACGTGGCGCTTTACTGCTGGGCCGCTCAGTGCTTTCATATTAGCAAAAATTTAATAACTCTGAAGCCTGAATACATATAAACTGAATAGTAAGTAGAAACAACTGCCTAGAAACTGGGATAGGTGGTTACTTTTTTGTTTGCTTTATCTTTTGTTTTTGTTTTTTTGCTATAGGGCATGTGTGCTCACCAGAGACAGAAAAAGTGAGCCATCACCCCTCAGAGGGATGGCCACACTGCAATCCCTTCCCCTCTATCCTCTTCTCGGGATTTTAGGCATGCATACACATATGCCTGGCATGATTTACAAACTGCGGGGTACAGGACTCGAACTGTGCAGTTGGCCTTGTGGGATCCAGCCACCTTCATCTCCATATCACTTGCTGGCCTGAAAGGAGGCTGCTTCTAGGAGAGGCTCCTGGATGGCTGGGCTATCACTGTTATCACTCAGTATCACAGCTGTATCATTTCAATTTTGTCTATGTGTATATAGATGATCCTTTGAGGGCTGAGTAAGCAAACTAGTGAATAAATACATTTACTGACATTGACGCATATTCTTATCATACCATATAAAAATAAACAAACAAAGAAAAATACAAAGAGGCCCAGTCACAGTGGCAAAAGCAAGAGGGTACCACTGTGCAGTGGCTAGGGCTGCGCGGGAAGCTTGTGTCTGGTTCTCTGCCCAACGGAGAAAGGCTGGGCGCAGTGGTGAGCACCCGTAACTCTAGCTAACAGGGAGGCTGGAGGAGGAGGACAACGACATGGCACGACTTTGTTAAAAATTCCTCTCTTGGTGCAAGCAGCAGGCATGGTGGTTAAGGGCAATGGACTCCCACATGGCTGACTGTGGTTCAGGTCCTGGACCTAGTGACTTGCTTTCTCACATTCCCTCTCCAGTCAAATTAAAATAAATAAATAAAGTTAAATAATTAAAAAAAAGTAAAAAATTCTTAAAAAAAAAAAAAAAAAAAAAAAACCAACCTCTCTTTCTTTCTCCAGTCCAATCTTTCCCCTTCTCCCCATAAAACAAAATAAAAACAAAAACAGGATAGAGAGTTGTTTAATGGTAATTGCTTCACTTTTGCAAGATGAGAGAGTTCTGGATATTGCCTGCCAGAAAATGTGAATTTGCTTACTACTAAACTGCACATTGTCTTTCTCTAGCCAGTCTTGACCTCCGATCAGAGCATTTTGGCTTTTCTGTCTCCTCAGCTGGGGATGCACTGTCATTATCTTCAACAAGGCACCCACATTTCAGTGACACACCAATAACTGCCGTCATCTCCATCTTTAAATGGATATTTTAAAATGATAAATTTCAGGTCGCATGTATTCTCCCACTTTAAGCAAACAAAACCAGGTTATCATTTAACTAGCCCACATATATACTGAGCTCAATTTGAGAACTCATAGATTCTTCCCTGTGCAAAACAGACTGAGAGAGAAATAAACCTGTGGCAATCTAACACGCTTGATTAAATACAAATACTCAGGATGAAAAAAAGCCTATCTAATTAGATCTTTTTCCTTTTTTCTTGGCCATAGGGCATGTGTGTTCACCAGCGAGAGAGAGGGAAGGAGAGTGAGAAATCACCTTCCTCCCTCCAAGGAGATGACCACACTGAAATCTCTCTTCCTTCATTCTCCTCTAGGGATTTTGGGTACGCATGCACAGGTGCCCAGAGTGATTTTCTTTTCTTTCTTTTTTGAGAGAGATTTTTGCTTTAGGGCACGTACACTCACCAGAGAGGCAAGAAATTGCCCCCGTGGAGGAGGCAAGAAATTAGTAACACTTCATCTAAGGCTGAATCAAGGACGATGAACAGGAAGAGGAGTCAAGAACATTTAGGAAGTGGCAGGGACAGGACTGGGTGGTAAACGCAGATTAGAAATACTACAGCATGACCTGGGCTTCTAGGGGACCGGAGATGACAGTGGTACTCTTCCTGCTATGAGGACCCCAGGAAGTGAAGAAGAAGGTGCGAGAAGCAGAGCCCACCTATCGTCCTGTGGTGTTGCGGGTACCTGGGGACACTCAATTGGAGACGTCCTGAAGGCAGTCACTGCATCGTGTCACACGTACCCTTTCCTAAAATCCACAGTGGCTCCCCAGTGACGACACGAGGTCCCCAGCTGGCAGCACAGAATCTACCAGGAGATCCCAACGTCTTCTCAGAGGCCAGAACTCTTAGTGCAGCATAGCCAATAACAGCCATAGGTGCAGCCTGGCTCTGGGCCCTGAAGGGCAGCAGCGTGTCCCCCTTCCTCTGCCCACCCCTCCCCGGGCAGAACAAACATCAGGCCTCCTCTCCACCTCAGAGTCAGATGTAGGTTTTGCCATTTAAGTGGATCATTTAACCTAAGCCTCAGTTTCTTTCTCTGTAAAACTGAAAAATGATGACTTGGTCAAAGGTCTATAATAGCTGCTCCTATTTATTAATATTTATAGCGGATAGTTTACACAGAACTGTATTGCCAAGTCTGGAAATGGAGGGGGGGGGATACTTTTTTTTGTTTTTTTTTTTTTTAATTTTTTTTTTTTTTTTTGTCTATTAGTTAAACATGTTTTTCTCTTTCAAATGCTTTTTTTTTTTTTTTTTTAAATTAATTGCCAAAAGGCACATGTGATCACCAAGGGAGAGGGAGGAGAAAGTCCTCTCCAATGGGGTGTAGTCATGCTGCAATCTCTTCTCTACCCTGTAGGTTTTTGGGGAATGTATGTACAAGTATCTGTGGTGCTTTTCAAGCTGCCAGGTGGGATTCAAACCACGGCTGACCATGTGGGATCTGGCTCCCTCAGTCACTGAGCTACAGGGCCAGTTGAAATACCATTTGTCCTTCCTTCCTCCCTCTCTCTCCCCTTCACTTTCTTTCTTCTTTCTTCCTACTCATCCTTTTCTTATTTTTTTTTTTAAGGCTTTTGCCACAGGGTGCATGTGCTCCCTGGAGAAAAAGTATGAGAGACAGTGAAAGGGAAAGTGAGAAATAATCCTCAGAGGGGATCTCCACCCTGCAATCCCTTCTCTTCCATTTTCCTGGGATTTTAAACACAAACATGCCTGCCATGATTTTTAAGCCACTGAGTTTAGGACTCAAACCACAATAAGTCCTGTGGGAGTACAACACTGTAACCATTATGTCACCTGCTGGTCCTGAAATATTATTTTTTTTAAAAAAATTATTTAATTTTACCTATCATCATTATTTAAAAAAATAAAATTTGTTACAGGGCATGTGTACTCACAAGAGAGAGAGAAAGCAAATGAAAAAGCAAGCCACAAGGTCCAGGACTCAAACCACAGTTGGCCATGTGAGAGTCCAGCACCTTAACCACCACACTACCTGCTGGCCCAATACTATTTCATTTTAAGAAATCTTTGAAACACTGTCAACAGCACTAAATAAATATGCCTTCAGGTTGATAGTCTTTTTCTTGATCTTTGCAGAAACTTGTCTAATCCCTTTTTCTTGGTATATTTAATTGCAAAGACAAACTCATTAACTAATCTCATTTTTTTTTAAAGAAGGATTTTTGCTATAGGGCACATATGCTCGGAGAGAGAGACTGAAAGCGAGAAATCACCCCGCCCCGGGGATGGCCACGATGCAATCCCTTCTCCTTCATTCTCCTCTCAGGATCTTGGGCGCAGGCACACACGCCCGACATAAGTTTTAAGTCACAGGGCCCAGGACTTGAACCGTGATCGACTACATGGGAGTCCAGCGAGGTAGCCATTACACCATATGCTGGTATCAACTAATTTTACTTTTATGTTTCAAATGAAGTTATGCTTTTGTTTAAGTCAATGACCCTATATTAATTATTAAAGTGTACATATAGTGTCAGTAATTTTAATCGCTCTCTCTTTTTTTAAGACAGAGGATATCTGGCCTTTTTTTTTTTTTTTTTTTAATGCTATAGGGGACATATGCTTGTAGGAGAGTCAGAGAAACAGAAAGCAAGAAATCACCCTTCAGGGGGAGGGCCACACTGCAATCCCTTCTCCTCTGAGATTTTGGGCACGCATGCACACGTGCCTGGTGTGTTTTAAGCCACCAGGTCTGGGACTCAAAGTTCAGTAGAGTACATGGGGAGTCCAGTTATGTAACCATTGCACCATCTGCTGCTCCCAATCTCTATTTATTTTTATCTTTTCTTTTTTAAAAAAGAACTATTGTATTTAACTTTATTTATTCATTCATTTATTTAATTTTGATCACAGAGGGATAGAGTGAGAGAAAGCAA